AAAACCAGTTAACTAAAGTTCGAACAACTTCACGAAAGTTTCTAATGCATGTAAATCCACGAAAAGTATCACTCGTTGCTGAAGACAAAAACGATCATTTAGAGCATATTAAACATAACGAGACTTGTTTATGCAGTACTTCGTGTTCCTCCATCATGTCAGGAGGAACCAGTTCATTCGACTGAACAGGTTTGCCACGAAAACGTCATTCATCATTTAGCGCCATTCGGAATCCGCCTATGGTCGCAGATACAGATGCCTTTATCGGCTTGCTATGCAATCACTCTCCTGTTCTCACGTTTGTGCTGACCTGTAGGCGTGTACAACTGTTTAACTAGTTTCACTTACTACTGTCATATATCTTGGATTTCTTACTTTGTCCGGCATTATACCTCATCGACTAAGAATCTGTTACATGCATATTATGGCCTTACTGGGTCTTGGACTTGGTCTACATGACATCATACCACTGCAGCTGGAGTAGAGAGACATTACACCACTGCAGTGCGAGGAAATGTAAGTGCTGTTACTAAATTGAGTAAATCCTGAGAAGTGACAGAAGATCGTTAGCGCTACCGTCGAATTGCAAACTAGACGTGCGCCAGCACATTAAGAATACCTAGACCAGTTCTTGTATATGCAAATAGATCATAGTCTCACCTTTCTGCTTAGAAATGGTATGAATTGGAAATATACATAAAAATATTTCCACTGAATGTTTAATAGTCTGAGTGAAATTCAAACATATTTAGACTTCCAACTCTAAAATCAATGAATGTCAGTGAAACGCGTAAAATCGACGAAACCTCTTCGTGAAAAGCGACATCATCTTGAACCAAAGACGTATGCCTTCTGATGGTCTTTTAACAATTGTGACTAGTTTTGCAAACTTAGCAATGTTTATATCAGAGCCTGCAGTAGCCAAATTTGTCAAGGCATTAATAGAGCCTCTGCGATCTTTGCAGGTGAACTGGCAAGAATCAGCTAATGAGGATGCTTGTTTCCCAAGTCGCAGTGGCGGTACACTTCCCGTGGACTTACAGGGATACAAGGTAAGCATTTTTAGAGTTCGCTTTAGTTGAGACCATAACCTTGAAATTATGACAGTTACATGCGCATGTACGCGAATCTTTTATTTTTAGATTGCCATATACAATTTAAAAAAGTAGCAGCGAAACAATGTCCAAAAGCCATCGCACGAATTTCGATTTTCCTTCACTACCGTCCAGAGAATTGTGCCTATACATCATTGTCGTCGTCGTTTGTGTTATTTATTCGTACCATCAGACGTACATCTACAGTAGCACGTACGACTGGAAACATGGCAACCAGAAGTTCGTTATTGACCATTTGTGGTTTTTTGGAGAGAAAATCAAAGACTCATCCGATGTTCGTTGGATGCAGTGGAAAATTCTAATGGCAAAAATGATTCCATATTTAATAATTCATTCGTTGTTGTTTAACCTTGGCCAACTGGTTTTGCCTGACACTGCGTGGTCAGCGTTAATGCTTGCTTACTGGATGACAGCAACTGTTCTGACGTTTGGAAGTACTATTACTGTGCAAGTAATCGTAATCGGAATCCTTCTGTATGCGATTGCCTCACTTACCAGAAAGAAATGGCCGGTGTGGATGGCAGTTGCAGGTATCCTGCTTATAACCGCAGGAGACATTTTTGCATTAGAACTTTACTCTGATTGGTTTACACAACTAGCGTTGGTTCTCTACAAGCTGATACAGTACATAACGTTCTGTGTTGACACTATTGACTCAAAGACAATCGACAAGAAATCGTTTCTCAGAGGATTATATGATATGTTTTTCTATGCTTTCTACTTTCCTTATCAGATATCTCTTATAGTTCCCTTTCATCAGTTCCGAGACAGCTTCGACAGCCGAAATGTAAGAAAGACGCAGACCGCAGAAATCTGTATTCTTGGGATGCGTCTTTTGTTCTGGTATACGATAATTGAGACAGCATTTCATTTCTTCTACTTCAGTGCCATGGTCACAGACTTGAAACAACTAGAGAAGTTGCCTACTTCAATTCTGTGCTGTATGGGCAGCATCGTCGCTCAATTCTTCCACATGGAGTATATGCTCATCTTTGGTCTGCCAGGGCTATTTGCGCGGCTAGACAAACTAGAACCTCCAGCCCTACCAATTTGCATCAGCCGATGTATGTCCTACAAACAAACATGGCGGAGCTTCGATCGAGGAATGTATAAGTTTTTTAAGTGCTACGTTGTCTTGCCATTTTGCCAGCCGTCATTTTCCGCAGGCAGGCGTCTGGTGAGTTTGATCATGTGTTGCCTTTTTGCCCTAACTCGCCATCGCTTTCAGCGCAACTGCATAGCTTGGATGATGCTGAATGTTGTCGGGATGATTGTCGAGCACATCCTCGATTCACTCTTCGCAAATGTCGTTGTCCAGCAGTGGAGACGAAACCTAGTCACCGGACGAACGGTTCGACGCCTCAGGGCCATCCTCTCCCTGATCCCTTTCATTTTCAAAGTATACGCTCACTTTTACTTTCTCACTTCATTCGAAGCTGGCAACATCTTCTTCCAAAAGTTGTTCTTATTCGAAACCCTGCATTTTAAGCCTCTGGCCATTGTTCTACTAATATGCGGCTACTGCTTCTCAAACGTGGTCATCGAGTTGGAAAGGCGCAACTATTCAAAAGGGATTGTACCCCAAAAAAGTGCAGTGAAATAAAGTGCTTAGTTTTGTTGACATAGATTAAAACACTTGCTACTATGTAAGTATTTGTTCATACCATAGCAAGGATTACTGCAAGTTATTTAAGATATGATCAACTAGAGAAGGTGACAAAATATATCAGTCGTGTAAGCAATCAATGTGTTGATCATACGATGATGCTTGTAAATAGGACATAAGTGTGGCATGGCTTTTGCCGTCCACCGCAAACGATCTGAGCACTTGAAAAAAGTACACGTTTGCGACCACCCCATGTGACAACAGCACGCGGAATGGTTAAAGAATGTACCCAGGCGGCCAACAAAGCCTTACACATACAAAGACACGAACACAGACAGTTGGAAAAGGGCATAGATAGAAAACGTAATTCGTTGAACAGTCATGTTAAAGACAGATTTTCCACCAGTGCTGCAACAGCGACAACTGCAGCAAAATTCGACGAATTCCACCTCATTCGGTAAAAATATTAATCCATCTTGAATAGAAACATCCACTGGAAATACGACGGATTTCAGTTTTTGTTCTATGGTTCTACTGTGTGTTAGCTGAGAGTTACTAAATCGAGGTAGTGGCCCCATTACGGTCATGACGTTTAAAATTAAGCGCAGTAGTTGCCTGTACATGAATTAGTGACAGACAAAAAATCACGCCTTTCTAGTCTATCCAATCGGCGCATTTCTAGCCGTAGAGCATTTTCAGCACATTTCCATTTTTGAACACATTATTTCGCCATCACTGCCATCCCATGAAAGAGGTAGCAAAATCCTTGCGAGGTATCTTCTTCCGATGCCATTTCGACAGAATATACTCACTGTATTCAGTTACCGCATATCACCTTTCTAGCGGGCGTACGATGAAACTCGTTACATAGCTCCAATTCGTTGAGCTACATTGGAAGGGACTGACTAAATGGTCCCATTCGGTGGTCATTAATGGAATCATGAGATAAAAATTAATTAATTAATGAAATATTAAGGGTAATCTTGCCAGAAATGCAGCCACGATGAAGGGGAGGGGCATTTATGCCTATCGATCCTCGAAGTTTCGCCAGCAGCAAATTCGGCTTCTGCTAGGGCAATCCATGCTAAACAGATTTGAGGTGAGAAGCCAAATCAAGTTCAATCAACCATATACCCGTTGTGATGAGTTACAACAAAATTTCCTATACCGGATCTAAGTCCACGTTACCACGGGTAGCATAATATGCGATAAGCGGATAAAGAGAACTTTTTTCCCGTCTTTCTGCACCTGAGGTAGTGGTAGAATGGGCATGGATGCAAAAGCAGTCACTGAAGGAAGAGAAAAACGGTATAATGAGCTGTTGCTATATCGCTGCAATGCGTTGCAGAGGTTATCAGGAAAGAATGTCGGAAGCATGTAGAAAGTTATATTTCTTCAGTAATAAAAACGAGCAACATTATGCCGAAGAAGGTTAACAGGTGGTTAACACAACTGAAACCAGAGGATATCAGAAGAAAGCTTGATACTGAGATTTAGGAGCAAATGGATTAACCATTTGAAAGGAAATCTCTGGCTGAAAGAGAAAAGACAATCACCCATATGAGTTTCTAGTGGAGCTGGAGCAGCTTCACACAACGAGGAGACAAACCTTCTCACTCAGATGCAAGAATGAGCTGCGCAGATATTAGTCAAGCTGTCATTGCGTTGAAGTTGAAACCAGCCAGTAATTTAGAATCCATTAATGATAGGATCTAAGCGAAGAAATGCGAAAAGAAGGAAAGAGCCAACGTTGTTACAAATAATAAAGAATAAATAGGGCGAATTACGCTGAGAGGTACACTAATTACAATAACTGAACATAGGTAATAAAAAATCAACAATGAATATCATGGAAAAGTACGTTATTGGACCAGACGAAACAGTCAGAGCTACAGTGAGGGCAGTGCGCAAAGCATAAACTGTTAGCAGTATCAGCAAAGGTTTGTATATAACAGCGCAAGATCGAGCGGTACAAACAGAATGAGACCGTTCAAAACGTTAAAGCCTTCTATGGAAAAGTGGAAACAAAGAACAAACCTGCAAATAATGCACATATTGTTGATCATGAGCATAAAAATTAATTAATTTCGAAAGAAGATATAGAATAATGACAAAGCCCATAACAAATAAGGTAACTAGGTGAAGGAAGTAATAGGGCATGCAAAGCGACTTTCTCAAC